TCAGATGCTTTCTTCCTAAACAGAATATGTCTGAAATAAAGTCCTTAAAAATTCTTCTGGAAAATTTAAAGGTCCTGTCCTGGGAATAGTATTCAGAGACACAGGATTCAGTCCAGTACATAGAACTACACTTTCTTCAGCATCATGTTTGTTACAAAGTCTTGGGAAAAGCTGTTCTTAGGCACTACTTTTTTTATTTTTTTAACTCTTTAAATAAATAGGAATTGGTTAAATCTCATTATAGTTTCTAAATAAGTATATGCACAAAGTAAATGTTACGTGTGTTTATTCATATATGAATGTATTGGTATCAAGAAGTCTAGAATTCACTTCTGCTCATTCCCAGTAACCATTTCACAAAATCCCTGTTTAAAGCAAGCTGTGAATCCACTGTGGAGACTAGAGAGTGTATGATAGATGTATTAATTTGTTTAGAAAATAATGTCCATCTCCAGGTCTTGACAATCTTTTCAAGTCTGCTTGTCTGGCCTATCCTGGGCTGGAACCATTAAAGACCTGTTTCTAAATAATTAGCTTGTTTAAAAGTAATATTGTCTTGTTTTTACAGCCTGAGAAAGTGTGTGTCTGAAAAAAAAAAAGTTAAAATATTTCCCCGAGACTATAATTCATTTTAGTAGTGTATTGTTAGTAATCACTAATCCTCTATGATACTGAAGCTTTTATAATTAAACTTCTGTGATTTTAGGTGCCTATGAAAATAATTCATTGTGTCCTGGAAGTTCAGTCTTTACAGAGTTGTCTCCATCTCTGTCTTGCATTGGGTGTAATTTCTGCTAACTAGGATTTGCTTGCAGGATGCACACAGTATTGTTGCTTGGTAGTGTTTATTTACAGGCATTATATATTTCCCCAACAAACATGCAGATTACCACAATACTCAGTTTCAGTGACACGCAGATGCAAATGTCCATTTATTGTTTGCCTAAGCAGGAGGGAGGATTGTATGTACAGATTTCCACAGAGCCTTGGAGTTGGAGAAAATTGGTTTATCTAGTGCGGGTTGCACATTGTGTGAATGTTAAATTTCTGCAGACTATGTTAGAATAGCAATGAAAGAGCCAAATGTGGCCCCAGGTGGTTGTTTGGGGGTGTGGTTCAGAGTCATTATTCATTTGCATTGCTAGTCACAGTTAAAAAAAGGGAACTATAAGTGGAAGGGGCCAGGTACAAACCATCACATCTCATAAAGTTTTGGATTGAATCACTAGTAGAATTCTTTGTGAAACAATAATCCATCCATCCATCCATCCAAATATATTCAGTGGTTTTATTTATTTAAATAATATCAGACTGCCTCCTTCTCAGAAAAATATTTTATAGTCAATACAGCTCAAATAAATGTGTAAGACAGTCCTTGAAGCTCATAGTTTGAATTATACTGACAATGTCAAATTGAACTGTATTGTGTTGCCATGAAACTAACCTGCTGCTAAGTTCCAGAAAACATCTTTGACTCATCTAAAATATGACAGCATTTTTCTAGTACAATGTTAGCAAATAGGTTTTCAAATTAATGGTCTTCGCATGTAAACTAGTTTTGAAGGGAGGAACATTGATTGATTGATCTGAGTAGTTTTATCACTGGCCAAAATAAATTAGATGTCTCACTCATCATGTTTTTTCCCTGATCTGACTAATTTACAGTATGAAAATAAATGTTCAAGTGTTTTGTTTACACAACAATAATAAGCAATGCATTTCATGTAGAACACTAAATAGGTTTCTTGATTTTCAGAGCTACTGAGCACATTTTTTACTAAATTTAATTTATTATTTTCAGTTCATAGTTTATACCCAAAATTGCTGCCCATTATTTGCAGATTTTGCATGGAAATATGAATATTTATTAAGCTGCTGGTGGAACTATCACAGTTGCTTCCAAAAGCAAAGGCAGCATGGGATGAATGTAGTCCTATAAGCTGCAGCAGTACAGGGTTGGACAAAAAAAGTATACTGTACATGTATCTATACAAAACATCTTGTTCTGTGAACTAGTGGCAGTGCTTACTAATCTGCATGGACTGAGGCTTAGTCCTGGGCCTTTATTTCCCAACAAATAAAACAATTCAACAATTTGTTGAAACTCTTGAATGAGAAGTTCTTTGTCAGTGCAAGGTATTGCTGCCATTTGCTGGGGGCCTCCCGCTTCTCCAACTTGTATTGGCAATTTGTTCCTAAATTGGAAACTTTGTCTCCTACTCTAGGGAGTGGAAGGTCAGGTCTCATGTGAAAAGGAAGGTAATCTGGACCAGTCATAAAATGTTATGCTGAAAGCCTTAGGATAAGTAGATCACTCCTAATACCTCTTTTCCTCTCCTAATCTCTCTTGCAGTAACCTTAGCCAGTACTTGTCTGAGTTACTGAGTTTTAAGCCAGATGTTAATTCTACATTTAGAGTAAATGTTATCTGAGAAGAAATTCTTGCAGCTAGCAGCCATGAGCTTGTGGGAGGAAACGGAGCTGGTGTTTACTGTCTGTTTTCTTTTTCCTTGCTTGAAGACAAAGGACAGAAAGTGCTACCATCACTCATGTGAGTGGCTATTTTTCTGTAACTTTTAATTAGCTATTAAGTATTATCTGGGGGGTTTTGTAGCCCATTTTTGGCATGAAATGCAGAATCTTTTTTTATATATAGATGTACCAGTCTGAACCTAGCCTTATTAAATAGAATGTACAGAGATATATAATATGGTGATCTTTTTTCATTCATAGTGTAAGACTCTTAGAGAGAGTGTTAAGACGTTGACTGGAAGACTTTAAAAATTACTGACCTTAGTGTAGATTCACATCTAAATTTTAAGATCTATATTTAATGTACTTGGGCTTGCATAGATTAAAAGATGTTTGTCAATGCTTCTCTTCTTTAAAAAGGAAAATTGACTGCTCTCTTTGTCTTCCCGAATATTTCTGATCTCCTTTTCTCTCACAGTAGTTGAACCTTTTAAGTGCACAGAAGAGCTATCAGCAGGTTTATTGAATGACTTCTGTTCATTGGACTAGAATACCTTGAGTTTTAAGTTTAATCTCATTTTCCTGTCTGATATTAAAGTATATAATCAAAGATGAAAGGATTGCATTGTATGCTGGGATTTACAGTTTGGAGAGTAGGAGCTTATGCACCACAATTTTAGAGGTAGAGCTCATACATGGCCCCAAAGAACTATTTTGGCTAGTAGCTGCTCTTTGCTTCATGTTTGACAGATAGATAATATATTCTACTTCTTTTTTTAGAATAACTGTAGGAAAAATAATAGGAAAAAGTTGGGTTTTTTCTTTCTTTAATGTGAAGTAGCTTTAAAGAATGTTGTGTTACTTCACTTAGGTTTTAGTTTTGCTTTGGTTCCTGTTTTACTTCTGAACTTCAGAGAAATGCATAGGATCTATAGGTCTAGCTGCATCATTCCCCAAAGATAAAAATCTGGGGATATATTGTTCCATAATTTGCCTGCAAAGGGTTTGACTTTTTTAAGTGCTCGCTTGTGCTGGTAGCACCTGGGAGGTGAGATCTGTGGAGTGTGGAAAGTTGGGGTGGGTAGTTCTGGCACATTATGGCTGGTGCACAGGGGTGTTGCATTATTTATGGGGATGAAGATCAGCTGTGCCCATCTGAAAACCTCAGGTCTGCCTCACTGCATGGTGCATCAGCAGCTTTACTGAGCAGAATATTCTTTTTCCATCAGTCCTTGCCTGTGTTCACCATGGGTCCTCCTTTCTTCATGTAAGGAGCTGCATCTAATTTCCTGTGGGGGATGAAGTGACACCCAGAGTTTGTACCCTTTACATTTCTGGGTTACTGTTCACCTCAGGATGGGAATTTTAGCCTCTTTTTCTTTAGTTCTGGTGTAATCATCTCTAAAGTCTCTGAAGACTTCCATATCCTGTAACTAATTAAATTGAAAGAATACAGAAGGAAATATCCAGTTCACTTGCTCTCTGCCTTAAGTAGTGTTCACAGTGTACAAAATAACCCACATTTATTGTTTTTCTGAGCCTTTGGTAATAATTAGAATAGTCTGGATCTGAGCTTCCTAAAACTCTACATGCATTGTCCAAAGGCATATATTTACAATCCCAAATGTCTGAAAAGAATATTCAGCACTCTGTTATATGCACAAAGTAGGATGCTGATTTTATTACAAATTTCAAATTTATTTTTTTGGACTCTAGATTTGACTAATAGACATTACATATATTGGAATTTTATGTGCTGCTAAGTAATTTCAAATATCCTCATTGTTGTCAAAATTGATGTTGTAAATTTTCTGAACTAAACATGCAGTGCTTTGCTATAAATGAGGGAAGGTCATTGAGCCAAATGGTGGTAGGAAGTCTGGTGGGGACGTTTGTCATTACTGACTGAGTTATAAGGATTTTTGGATAAGCTGTAAAACTGATAGTAATGGATGAGAGAATAATTTTGGATAGTAATTTCAACAATTTAAATCCTGTAACTTCTAGTATGCTACATATAAACAGAGCAGGTGGTATGTTACTTCATGTGGGTTGTTTAATAAATTGTATTTGTGGTTGTATTTATTGTTGCCTTTGTCATGAGATAACTGGGCCTTATCTAGTTTCAATGCAATTTGTTCCATGTGGACCTATGATGTTTACATCCTTCTGTCTCAGAAATCTCAGGTCTACTTGAGCAAAAATCAAAGGGCAGAATTAACTTTCTCTATTGCTAGAATCCAAGGATCACTTTTGCAAGGTAAATCTTCATTAGGAGTCTGTTTAGTATACTAAAAATTACTAGTCTGTCAAGATGGCCAACAAAGCTTCACGTCAGATGACTGTCAGAGAACTGTTTTCTCTAAGTCTTTTGTCACTCAAAATATCTCATTTATTTTAAAACTGTATACTGTTAACATATTTCTGATACTTGATCCCTTTTCTCTTCTAAGGAACTGGCATAATTTCTATATTAAAATAAGAATCCATGTCCTGTAAGTAGATATTTACTATATCTTTACTTTCAGAAGTAACGCTGCATTTCAGAAATATCCTGTGGAAATCTTATCATCATCCAGACCAACAATACTGCAGCCCAAGAAGGTAGAATATCCCAACATTTTATGTCCTGCTGCTTAATTAAAATAACCTTAGCAAGTATTGCTTCATCAAAGGCAAATAATTTTCCACTGTCAAGTGTGAAATACTTGCATCCAGAAAGGCTGATTAGCACCCAGTGCTTCCCCAAATGAAATCACCAAGAGGTGCAATATCTTTAGCCCTCTTCAGGGTACCAGGGTACCAAGCCACAGAATCACAGAGTCTGGAGAGTTGGCATGGACCCACAAGGATTATTGAGTCCATCTTCTGGCTCTGCACAGGACTGTTCCCATGAGTCACACCGTGTGCTGAAGAGCATGTGCTGAAGGTCCCTGGGGAACCTGTTCTAGTGCCCAACCACCCTCTGGATGAAAAACGTTTTTCTAATATCCAACCTAATTCTTCCCTGACAGCTCTAGTCCACGCACTTGGGACCTATCACTGGTCACCAAAGGGAAGATTTCAGTGTCTGCCCCTCTTCCCCTCAAAAGGAAGTTGTAACTGCAATGAGATCTCCTCAGTCTCCTCTTTTCCAGCCTGAACAGACCAAGTAACCTCTGACTCCTCATAGGGCTTCCCCTCAAGGCCCTTCACCATCTTTGTTGACCTCCTTTTGATCTCTCTAATAGCTTAATATCTTTCTTATCTTGTGACTAAAACTGCACGCAGTATTCAAGGTGAGGCCATACCAGCACAGGGAGAACTTCTAGCCAAGCTGAAAAGAGAAATGTTGGCCACAGCACTGGACTAAAACTAATCTTTCCAGAAAAATATTGTACTGTCTATACACAGCAGGCCAGGCCTTTTTTATGAACTGTTCAGAAACAGCAGCGCAGCAAATGGAGTGGTATATATCTGTCTCAAAAGGGAGAAGAGAGAAATCAGCCTTGTCAGGTTTTGAACGTGTCATTTCAAGGCATTCCCTGCCTGGTAATTGGCCTACTAAGCTACCCCAGTGTCCTGGTTGTAGAGCAGTTGGCAGGGGCTTGGCAGTGAAAACTCAGCAGAGAGCTATTACTTATTTCAGGCCATCAGGACACTTTTCATCTGTAGCAAATTCAGGTTACAGTTTCTGCAGCACATCCTTGCCTGGTGCCTCGTTAACTGAACAACTTGTGCAGTTGGGTCCTTCACTGATAATGCTCTTTTTTAGCCTCTTCTGCAAAATAACATTGAAATTGCAACTCCAATTAAGATTAAAAGAATGCTTTCATTTGGACATCTTTGCTTTTTTTCTCTTAACCCTGACCTCCTGAAAAGCACTCCCTTCTGCAAAGATTCCTTACACTTAGAATTAAGCCAATAACTGTTTTTATTTTAGAAATACAGCAGCAAAAAATTATGTTTCAATGAATTGCAAAAATAATCATGGTTAACTAAGAATAGGACCGATAGTATTCTGGGAAGAAGAAAGTCTCTGGGAACTGAGCTGTGTGCCCTGGCAGCAAGGAAGGCCAAGAGCATCCTGAGATGTATCAAGAGTTGCTCAGCCAGCAGATTGATGGGAGGAAGATCACATCTGGTGTTCTGCATCCAGTCTTGTCCTCCACAGCCCCCCATCAGGAAAGGCGCAGACAACCTGTAAGCAGCTCTGCAGGAGCTACCAAGGGAGCTGAAGCACTTGTCATGTGAGCAAAGGCTGAGGGAGCTGGTTCAGCCTTCAGAATAAGCAACATTGAGGGAACCTGAAAGCAGCCAGTACCTCAAATTATCCAGAGGGGACTGATAGGAGAAAAAATGACAGCATATGTAAAGTGCAGGAAGAGAGGCTTTTCAGACTGGCTTTAAGGAAAAGCTTTTTGTCCACAAGGGCAGACAAGCAATTGAGCTTGTTTTCCAAGCAAAGTGGTCTGGGTCAACATCCTGTTTTTCAAGACTTGGTTGGACAAAGCTGTGAATAATCTGATCAGATGCCATCTCTGATGGCTTTCAGCAGGAGGTGGGACTACAGACTTCCTAGATACATTTCCAATGTGAATGATTCTGTGATCCTGTTGATCAGGTGGTCATCCATGCTCTCTGCTTTGAAATGGGTACAGACACAAACTGATGAAAACATATAGCCAGAAAAAAGTTCTCCTTTTCTAAAACCATCCACAAATCTTGCTTTCTAAAAATCTAGGGATGCTTTTTTTGGTTTAGAATGAAAAAAGAAAATGAAAGGAAAGTCACGGAAAAGGTTCAAGTTTTTATTAGATGTTTTGAGATCTGCGATGCAAAATAGCAATATTTGCTTTAGAAGTAAGCAACAAATCCTTGTATCTGATCATACAGCATGTATTATATGCACTGAGTTACAGTCACCCTCTCTCAAACATATTTTCTAATGTTCATCAATCTTTATTCCTATTCTCTTCTCTTTTGGGTTAATCCTTTCTCATAAGTCATCCCTAATGCTGTTCAATTCCAGACATATTTCTTAGCAATTGCATTGGAATTCATGTTTTGTATGTTAGCAGGGAAACTAAGTAGTGGCTGGTAGGTTTCTTTCTGTAGGCTTTTTGTGAAAGCTAGTGAAAGTCACTGTCTAGTGACTGCTTTGTTAAAAAATTCAAGGAAATAATACTGAGTTTACCAGCAGTCTAAACTTTCTTCTTCTTTACTCTTCTTTCCTCCTTTCCCAGGATCCAGCCACCACCCTGACTCCCCCAAAGAAATCCTGGTTGCAAGAATAGGCTTTGCTTTGATTTTTCAGAAAGCAGGCACATGTAGTAGTTGTTGTCATTGTGCTGTAACTTGAGGTGGCAGTGCTGAAAGTGTGTCTAGTGATGGAGTTTCAGGAGCAACTTGTTGCTAAAGTGTTGTGTCCACACTCCTCTGTTGGGCTTGGGTTTAATTAGACCAGTCACAACTGCTTCCCCGTGAGATACTTGCCTCTGAGTCTCAAACACGCATCTGTTGTCAAGTGTTTCTTTTTTTAGTATTAGATGGTAATTACATGCAGCTTTTGCCTCACCTTAGTGGTGCTTTTTAATAGAGGAAAAAAATATTGTAATATATACATATACATATATATATATGGAAATAGACGTGTACTCATACATACATCTAAATAAGCGTTCCCTCAGAAGCAATTCTGTACATGAAGACATCTTCACTAATGCTAATAAAACTTTACTGTGAGCTAAAATTAATTTTCTGCAGATGTTTTTTTGTTATAAAAGCTTTCCCTTTTTAAATTATACATATTTCTTGAAATTTAGTTGGGCAAATCTTATCTAGTGCTAGTAATAATGGGAAATTCTGAAAATTCATCCTGTTGGACCATAAGTTAATAGATGTTAGTTGGAAGGCAGCAGGGGTAAGAAAATATAGTTTAGTAAAAGCAAACTGACCTTTTATGAAAGGGGTCCCTCACTTGATGTAATGCTACTGTATTGTAAACGAGTATCTCAGTTTTACACGTTGTCTTTAAATAAAACATGATATACTTCATTCCAGAGATGTTAATTCCAGTGAGCTTCCTAGAGCTTGGCTACTGCTCGCTTGCATTAATTTATTGAATACAACTCAGGGAGAAATTCATTTTACTCTAGACCTTTTCCAATCATCTTGAATATGAATATTCTAACCTGGTGGCCCCTTCCCTTGTGATCTTTTTGCTTGCATAAATTGTGTACCACAACTGTCCTATCTTGATGTGCGTGCTCAATGGCCAACAACTTGTAATAGCCATTGTGTTCCGCAGTGTGGTGCCTGTGACTCTGATGTAACCTACTGATATGTTGCATTTGTTGACAGGCACAAGGCCGAGATGTCAACATGTTTGTAAAGATGCCTTGGAAAGATGACTTAAACCTTTAGCATGTTGTAATACTGGTGAATGCAAAGTGGTGCTGAGAAAAACATTGCTTGGCCAGGTTTATTTTGAAAGTTCGGAACTGTGTACTTAAGCAAGTGTGATGTTTTAGCTTCTTTTCATTTAGCAGAGCACAAAGATATTTATTTTTTTTTTGGTCAGGCATGATATAAGTAAACATTTTGAAATAAAATATATGAGTCCCCCAGCAGTTATTATTTTCTGAAGTACCTGGATTGTGATTTCATTTTTCATTTATAGTTGTTTCAGACTGCTTCTTGTAGACTTCATTTTTATGGGGACACATTAGGCTTTTGATTGTGCTTCAGGGAAGAAAAGAGAGGAGCTCTTTGAAGGTAGAGTATTGGACCAAAGACTGCTTTCTCTTTAGTTTTTACTATTATTTGGCAGCACTGTAGTCTCATAACATTAGCAGGCAGTCCCCATTGCCAGAGAGTCTGTGGTAATGTTTTGGCCCTGCGCTTGTTCTCGTATTAACCCCCAGCCAGTCCTGCTTTCTGCTGATGGGCATCTGTTGCCTTGTGTAGCCATCCACCTGTGCTGGCTTTGCTCTGAAGCCTTCACACCGAGTCTACTGCCCATCAAGGGCATTATTTTGATTTAATTGGGAATTAATTGTGTGACAGATGCACATAAGTAGGGATCACAAGAGGTGTTTTGAGTGTGCATATGTATGAGAGCACTGAGTGAATATATTCAACTGTACACTCTTGCTTGGGTCCTGCTGTCGTTAAGTCACTGGAAAAATCTTTGCAAAAGATAAAATCAAAGGTGTTCTCTATTCAAATTTCAATGCACTTGCAAAATACCTTCTTGCATCTTTGAGACATTTTTCAGTACCTGTTTTCAAATAGGTGGGAAAAATAATGAATTGTGAAATGTAGAAATGTAGTTTAAGACTTAATTTAAATTATATTTCCTAATAAATACTACTGCATTAGGAACTAGGCTTTTCCCAGAGGTCTATAGGAGCTCTTTGAGTGTACTGCATCCAAAACTGCTTTCCTATTCTGTTTCTCTGGAGAGTTAGTTTGGTCCTTTCTCACTGAAAGGTCCCCATTGTTTGTGTGACTTTCTTGTCCTTTTTAATGGGATCAATTGCAAGCTCTATCCATCAAAATCAGTACTCCTGTATTCCCTCCTTCTCAGTGATGTTGCTTATCCAGTTCCATAGAGAGCTATAAAGCTCACTAATCTGCAAAAAAATCCCTAAACAAAAAGTGAAGTTATTACATCTTTTGTAATACCTATTGGTTGGTCATCTATCAATTTCCCAAGTTGGACTGGCTCATCTGAGGCCAAATATCGGACTGACTGTGCTGGTCTAAAGGAGGCAGGGAGAGGGTTTGTGCTTGCCAGGATGGCAAAATTGCAATTGCTCCTCTTCACGTTGGCTTAAACTTGTTGCAGTTCCTTTGTGCCCCTTTGGGTAAATAAACATCTGTAAGGTACAGCCATCACCTCACTTGCCAGTCTTCTTTTCAGCTCTCACACTGTCTGCAGATAGTGTTTCTTTTAGGATAACGTAAAGTTTTATGAAGACAACCATGTATTCACATGCATTCTAGGTGTGCCTTCAAATGTCACAGGTTTGGGTTTGGTGTGTTATGCTCACTAAACTGAAAATACACTCCATTAGAGCAGCACTCCAACAGACCAGTCTGTTCATCAGCCAGGAGATCTCTGGAGCAGTATGCTCTGTAAAAAAAAAAAACAACAGATACATATCTGAATGAATAGGTTATTCTTATACATGTGTGTCTTTACTATGTGCTGCTTACACACACTACTGTGCTTTCAGAAGGGCTTAGTTCTTCATAGACTTGAAGCAATATTGCATTTCTTATGATAGTTCTAGCTTCTAATGCATTCTTCGTTAAGAAACTGTTGAAATATAGAGTGTCAAGGTGCTGAATTGAAGCTGCTCACAACTGCTGTTGCATACAAAAAGCTGTTTAAAAGAAAAAAACCACACACACACCACACACACACACAAAAAAAAAGCATTCCAGTTTGTTTATATCTTGACTTAACACTTTTTACATAATTTTAGAGAATTTGAATGTCGGTAAAATATTTCCCTGGCTCCTCTCAATGGTGAAAAAAGGATATTTTACAGTCACTGTAGTTTTGGGTTTCAGCTTTGAATTGAGCTCATCCTTATTTTAAGTGACACATTGAATCTCAGTGTGATTTGTAAAGAGTAGTGCCAGTCTACAGAGTTAGTCTTTGAAGTGTGTTTAGAGATACATGGATTTAGCCATAGAATTAAGATTGTGTTAAAGCCTATATAAAATAACTTCCTTTGGGTGTTAAAACTCATAAAGGTTTGAAAAATTAAAGATAAAAATATAGAAGTGAAAACAGTGCAACTTTGTGATTATAGATAAAAATTGGTCTGTTTTTTATGTACATTTCTTTCTCAACAATTGTTGGGTGTAATTAGAGGAAGAGAGAGAAAATGGAACAATTAACACACCATATGTACAAAACGAAACAAAAAAAATTTCCAGTCTGTAGGTGTTATACTGAACAAGAATTTGGTTTGTCCCATCTATCTTTTTTATGTAGATAGCACTTACTCATTTGTATTGCATTTTGAAAGACTTGTACCCACTAATAGGTACTTGCTGTTGTTGTTGTTGTTTTTTCTTTTAAGCTAAAGATACATATATGTTTGTTGTTGTATCTCTTGGAAACCTGTCCTTTCTTTCAGAAAATATTATGTGTTTTGCACAGTTTAACCTTACATATGTCTATGGGGTGATTTGAAATCTCACCATTATCAAGCAACAGAATTACACTATATATTAATGATTTGGGGTTGTTTCTTTTCTAGGAGAAATAATCAGCTTCCCCTTCATGTCTTGCTAGGACAACAGCTGCAGATGAGATTGAGCTTCCATATTTAATACATTCTATTAACTTCACACATCCAAACACACACTCGCTCACTCCCTCACGCACCCCAGTGTCACATTATAGGTGAACAGGCCCTAATTAAAAGCACACACCATCTGCCGGAGCGCGGCGGCAGAGTGGCACTCCACAACCATCCTGATTCCTGTGATTGAAATGTATTATTTATGAGCTCAAAGACAAAATACGCTGCTTGGCTGATGAAAGCTGCATTAGGAGCTGGATAGCACCATCTAATGGAATGGAGTGCCACTGGCTATTCATCTTTCCTCTTCCTCTCTCCTCAGTCTCCTCCCCCGATAATTTTATTTTTCAGTCTTGTCCTTGGATATTCTATGACAGAGTTTCAGGAAATTCTGTCTCTGGTGTTCCATTTTTATACAAAATTGGAAAGGGTTGTTGAAATATTAAACTAATTGTGGGGGTATTTTGTAGCCTTTTGTTTCCTTCCAGTGACACACATAGCGTTTTACTTTCTGTAGCAGAAGTGGTACTGATGTGATGTGGTGGTACAGAATTGGAACACAAGGAAGATAGATGAGCAAGATCAGTTTACTGCATTTCTCCAGTCCCTCCCAAAGACCCATGTAATGGAAGTATCCACTGCTCAGTTTGAAAATTTTATTGTCATATGGAAATTTGCCCTATTTGGCAGGGGAGGGAAGGGAAGGGAGGATGACAATACACTACAGAGTATGTGAAAGTAATTAACCGTTTTGGAAAAAAGGGCAGGATTTGGGGAAAACTGCAGTTTTGGACCTTCCTCTCTGGAAGCAGAGATCATAACCTCTTCCAGCTTGCAGAATTCATGTCCTGTTATTGCTTCTTAATGGGGAAATGGATGAGGTGGTGTTGGACTGAGGGGTGAAATTCACCCTGTCAAGAGAGGAAGAGGGTGACAGGGAAAGAGCCCTTTTTTTTGTTAATTGGTCCATCAATCTACCTTTGTTGACTGCGAGATTACAACATTGCATCTAGTAGAAGTGTATATTGTATTTAGTGTCAAGCTCAATGACCTTTAGAATATGCAGGTTAAAAATAGTCATACTGCTTCAAAATAGGCTGGGGAATGATTTTCTGGTCCTTAGCCTTTTTGTAATGTTCTTTAGTTTTGCAGTATTCCATGCTGGACATCCAGTAGTATGGCTTCAGCACAAACAAGGAGTTAGATTGATACTTAATTGATATCAATTAGATTGATACTTGAAATATGACATTTTTCTACAGTAATCTCCAATAGAACCACTTTTTTTTTAAATTGCAGGATCTGGTCACTACTTCAACTCAGGCAAGAGAAAACCCTGAATAAAAAGTTATATGCCTAAAACTGAGAAAAAATACATATATATGTGGAGTGTGCGTTTTATTTTTTATATCAATATGTTTTAAAGAATGTTGAAATGACATAAATCATGGCACATCCATGAATACATGTCCTCTTATTGTTTGTATTTAGAACATACGCCATCAGAAGGATAAGAGATGCCTTTAGAGAAAACAAGAACATTGCGGATTCTGAAAAAATAGAAGAACTACTGAATAAAGCCAAAGCAAACCTCCAGATTATTCAACGGCAGGTATGTTTTTCTCATTTTTATAGGAGTTGTCCATTGCTTATTTAAGTGCTTTATGCCACCAGAGATGGAAAAAAAAAAAGATCCTTGCTTAAAACATATCTAGGTGAATATCAGTTTTTGTCTGACTTTATTTGTCCTTCCATCATAGGTTCAGAAGGGTGACACTGACACTCACTCTAAATAACCTCACTTTCTTCAGTGTTCATTTTTCCCCATCTCCAGACACAGTGTTGGAATAGTAACAGAACAAGAAAATCCTGAAGTGAATTAAGTAAATGCTGGCTAAATGGCAATAGGTTTTTCTTTGGAAAATTTACATCACTGGCAATATTTTCCTTCAACCTTGTCTAAGTAGCATTTATAGCATCTCTGTTCCTTCCAAGAGGTACCATGTTACTAAGAAATGAAGTAGACTTGGTTGAACTTGAGATACTTTTTAATTTCTCATTTATAGCTGCTGTGTATTTAAAGTGACCGCTAAAAATTGGAAAAAAAGCAGGTTTCTATGCCTGAACTCTCTATGGGCACTTGCAGTGCTTAAGCTGCTCCTCCTTGCAAAATCTGCACTTGCTGACACCAGTCAGAGCTCAGTAGTACTTTTATTAAACACTGAACAACTATGTGCACCTGCTCCTCAATGGTTTAGTAAGGCTCTTTAAACAACCAGCAGGTTAGTTAGATGGATTCTTATTTTAGTAGGGTGCTGGGCCCTTTGATTTGACAATTAAGTATGGATACTTAGGTGCAAGTTAATTTTTTTTTATTTTCTTCTCCCAGGATCAGGTGTTGTTTTGTGCCACCATAGTTTTGATATCTTTTTTTTAACCCAAACACTGCTATTTTTTTTTTTTTAAGTATTTCTCAAAGAAGCAATTTGGATTGGATTCTTCCAATGCAATTATATTTGAATGCTGGGGTGTTTTTTCTCAGATCTGTAGGTGATAATTGACATTTTCAGCTCTTCTAATTCTTGCTTAAGGTAAAGTCTTGCTAAATAAAAACTTTTCAGCTCTTTTTCTCAGCAAAACATGATTCTACTGATCTGAGTTCTGATACATCTGGGACAGATTTGAAAATAAAACTCCTCTTTCCTCTCTAAGTCCTGTGTAAACCCAGATGTTTCTGTAGACCTTAGATAAATATATTATTTCTCTTAAACAGACTCTTGACAGGCTAGACTCTTGTCTAGAGTGGAGATCTTGCCTTGCACCTTTTTTGAAGTTTTCCTTTAGCATAAAGATTGTCCCTCAGCATCAGTCAACGTCCTTCTGTCATGCATTTGTTACTGCATCACTGGGACATACCAGAACAATTCAGAATGGCCTCAGTTATTGCTAAGCCTGCCGGGTTTTGCATGTTTGTTTCAAACATCCGCTATTTAAAGTGTTTCTCCAACATGAAAAACCACATTGCTAAAGTTGGTTTTAAATTGGACCACTATCATTCCGTGTAAGAATTTCAGGGAAAATATACTTGAAAATCAAGGAATATTAAAGCCACTGACACAACTTCCCATTTTTAACACTGCTAAGTGAAACTTAGGTTGAAGTATCTCTTTAATGTTGCACTTCTGGACAAGTACAATCACGCTTCATTCACCTTTGGAAGGGTTTATTTTACATGTTTTCAAGAGTTATGGATAATAAATGTTATTATACAGCAATATAATAGGCAATGGAACTTTTTAACAAAAAATAATCAGAAGAAAATTATTTTATCAAGATAATTTTTTGACATGCATCCCTGCAAAAGTTGATTATTTGGTTAATAATTTTTTTTTTTCCCTAAAAAATTACAAACTGTTATGCTTTGCAGAACTTCCGTTATGTTTCGGTGTCGTCTCACTCCCATCTGTAAAGCAAGAGATAAATGTTGTAAAAATTAAAATATTTTCGTTGAGAGTATTAAAAACCTGAGCATCTAAGTTCATATTAATATTTACTTGCTGTCAAATTTCATCATGCTCTGTAGAAAAAGTTCATTCTTCCTCACTGTTTAATTGAAGATCTAAGTAATGAAGTCATCTGACATTATTAAAACTTTATATTTAAAACTAACCAAGCGTAATATAAAGTGCTTTTATTTTTAAATGCAGAAGCACTGAAGCAAACATGAGATGTAGCATACAGTTTTTTGCTAAGTTTGGGGCTTATTATGATGTGGTTCATCTTGGTATTGCTGACTTTTTCTGGTATGTCAGTAGAAATTAAATAATTTCCCTCCTTGCTGACAATTTGTTGTTACTCTAAAATCAAATTTATATTCACTTTACATTCTAATTTATGGTTTAGTCATCAAAGTGACCACTGAAGTGTAAGGTTCATAAATAACTATTTGAATCAGCCTAGTGGGAAATGTGAAGTAGTGACAGATTACTGTCATTTTGTTCATGTCAGTCACTGTACAATTTGCTTGAGTGTTATAAAAGTAGCTTTATAATACTGAAAAGCATGGAAGAACATTAATCTCCAGCTTAGTCCTCCTCTGCTTATTATTGGTTTCGATTTTATAATAGCCTGGCTATAAGGAAGGAACTCATGTTCCTTTGCCAGCACTGTTGGCAAAGATTTTTGTGCGTAGGTGTTTACTGTATAAACAACAAAATTTTGTGATGTCTTTCCTGTGGAGAAGGGTGTTGGGGGAAATACAGTGTTACAAATAAGTGTGAAATAGAAAGTTTTAAATTTGAGGTGAAGTCTTGAAGTTGTTTGACGATTGTCATAACAGCCATTTCCCACCTATGCTAACACGATTACATTTGTGAGTTTCTATTTGTAACTAACATTAGTAATGTTAGTTTGTTAGTGGTAGGAGAATTAGCACTGAATTTGCATTGCTGCTGCTGAAATTTGAGATTTATAAAAGCCACTTTGAAGACTGGCTAATATTGAGTGTTTTGAAGTTTTCTTTATGATATTCTGTCTCTCGGGTTTTGAACTGAAAACATAACAGTGGAGTTCAAAAGCTATAGTAGACCTGTGTGCTCTGATTAAAGCCTTGTTTTCATTTATAGGATGTCTCATTCTTCCATATTCCTCTGCAGTGCTTTCTCCTCAGTTTTATGTTGTAGCTAGAAACTGCCAGTCATCTTGTTGTCCAGCTAAGAAGGATTATTTTGTTTTTCTTGGCAGCTCTGAGCCTCTATGATCAATTTTACTGGTTTTAACATCACACAACTATAGTACTCTTCAATAAAAGGGTTTTAATATTTCACAGCTTTTGTTTGTCTCTTTAAGCAGTCCAAACTGCTGAGAGTCCTGGTTTGCACAAACCTTGGTCAAGGAGACAAAGGATGCACCATGAGCACTCAGACAGTCGGGACTTGTGGATCTACCTCCTTTACAGCTGAGAACAGATAAACTTTTCTTTTTAGTCTGAGTTGTTTTTCCTCAGGCTTATCCTCTCTTACTGTACCCTTCAGATGTGTAGAATGAAAGAATGTGGTGTTGAAGCATGAAACCTCGGTTAGAAAGGTTCCACTGTTATGATAAGTTCTGAGTACTTGCAGCATTTTTCATGTTTGCAGCACGTTGTAAAGTACATTCTAATCCTGGAAATATCCATTATTTGTAGTAACTTTAGCTCAATTTCTCTTAATGAAATGCTTCATGACTACACCTTGATAAAAGCCCACGTCATACTTAGTGTGAGATTTTGATCTCGTATTCTTATGTTTCTTCATAGTCAAAATTATTAGTATGGTCTTGTGCTGAAACCTGTGCAAAATAAGAACAATTTTTCTGGATCTTTCATTTTTCAGCAAGCCAAGTTGCCAGTGCAGCTGTGTGAGGCCAAGTATTGTGCCCTCCTGAGGCACTCATTAGCAGTATCTTATCTTGGCAATATTGTAAATTTGAGTAACACTTGAATGGAAGTGGAAATTAAACTGAGTCAATGTACTAATACAACACTCTTATTATTATGAATTGATGACAATATAGCCATGAGGAAAATTTCTGTTAATCAAAATAACATAAATATTAAAGCATGTTTAATAAATATTAGCAAGACAAACAACTTCAATTATTGTTGTTATAAAAAATTAAAGGTAGAAATAATACCCTATTTTACTTCACCTGGTTCGAATTGACTGCTCATCCTTTGAGCAGCAAATATTCCTATATTAGTAACTGTCAAGGTGTATGTACTTCTGGACTGAAAGCATTTTGTTGAGTATTTGGAGGACTGGTACCAATTTACACAGTTGTTTGTGACATTGGAATTTACTGTTAGAAAGACCTTACCAAACTTTAAGAAATGTTCTGGGTATCCGAACAAGTTGTGTTTATAGCGCAGAGCACTGTAGGCTGGATGCCCTTTGCAAGAGAAGATTCATTTTGAAAACTCATTAGTATTAGTTTCAGGCTACAGGTCATATTTATGTCTAATTTTTATGAATATGTAAGAAAGTTGCAAAATAGGTAATGTATTTCATTATGTTTGCAACAGTTTTGAGACCAAGAGAAAAGAATAGCTGTAAAAGCTCTTCGAACACAAGGGGCAGCACCCGCTACTGCTCAGGAATGTGTGTGGTGTTGGCAAGTCATGTCTTCCTGCTGGCAGACAATTCTGTTGGAGTTCTAATATGGCTTATTCTTATCAAGCTTGTCACATGCGAGGAAGTTTTAAAATCACGGATTATTTTACTGCTTTTCCCGAGAAGCCCTTTGACTTTTATCTCTTTTTATTTTCCAGCTTCACAATGGAAAATATATTTCTCTACAAAAATGCATATTTTTCTATCACAAAATTGTAGACTTACAGTTCTTAGATAAGAGGATTGCACTTGGGAGTTTGGGCTTTTATTTGTGCAATGTATTTTTATTTATTACGGTTGGACACCATTTTCCAGCTGGGATAGAGCTGACATTACACCCAGAGAATTTTTCTTACCTCTCTGGCCGTTAAGCTGTACTTAAAGCAAGTGTAGACACAGTAAAGTTTTAAAATGCTTTATTCACAATAGAAGAGCAGGAGTGAGTGGTATAATCAAACAATGG